TTTATATACATGTATAATATTGGACACACAGTTTTCACTTTCATGAACTTCAGAATTCTGGGTTCCATGAAGGTGGAGATGGCCCACGCAAGTGATCATCCTGAGGTGATCTTTGAACCTCAAACCTTGAAGACACTTATCTCTAAGAAGTCATCTTTAAGGCAAAACTCAAACAACCGTCTAACTAGTAAAGAGTGTTTTGCTGTAAGTCTTGAGCTCTTCTAAGGAACGATCTGTGTGCAGTCCGTCTCAAGAAACACGGACACCACAAGTCAGAGGGGAACGATGAGTAGTGAGCAATTATTTTAAGTGCTCTTCAAGACAGGGCCGTATGAAATCCTGCTGGCCGCCGATGGCTTGACCAGCAATAAACTGGAGTAGGAAAAGCTTCTTGGGCTCTCAAGTCAAAATGTTATCCCAATTTGCGGGTTGTATATCAGGTTGCTATGAGTCGGGGCCTTATAGAAACTTGGATCTGTCGTGTTTTAGTGACCTGAAAGCACGTGTTAGTCAACAGATGCTGCTCTAGGGACTTCACGCATATTAACTCATTTCGTCCTGTCGTTGTCAGTGCCACCGAGTAGGTTCTAACTCATAACAACCGATGACAGAAGAAGGGAGCACTGCCCAGCCTCCCAGGTACCCTTCTGCTGGAGCTCACGGTCGTCACTGTGTCGGTCCATCTCACTCACTGTCCCTCTACTTCCATCCTTAGATACCAGCTAACACTGCTATCATCCAGTTTCCAGAGGAAGAAACTCAGCTACCAAGAGGTCCAGGGATTTGTGTGAGTCACTGACAGGCAAGCACCAAACCGCAGCTAAGCTCAGGACTGCCGTGTGCCTGCTTCTCAGTGACAACCCAGGGACTGTGAGGGAGAGCTAAGCAAAGGAGCTGCCAGGGCAGCTTTCATTGAGCCTACCTGCTGGTAGTAATCCACGTAAGTGATCTCACTGCTGTCCCGCTTCTGAAAGGTGTGTGTGGGCTTCACAGACCAGTCAATGTCATCAATGCGGTAGGTTTTGTTATTGTATCTGGAAAAATGCATGAGATTTGTTTGTAATGTTCTAAATCATACAAGGTAAACTACTAGTGCACCAACCTATTCATTCATTCCAAACTCACTGCCACTGCTTCGATGGTGACTCACACTGACCTGATTGATACACAGGGTAGCACTGTCCCCTGCGAATTTTTGAAACAGTAACTCTTTTTTTTAAAATCATTCTATTAGGGGCTCATACAACTCTTATCACAATCCATACATACATCAATTGTGTAAAGCACATTTGTACATTCATTGCCCTCATCATTTTTAAAACATTTGCTCTCCACTTAAGCCCCTGACATCAGCTCCTCATTTTTCCCCTCCCTCCCGCTCCCCCTCCCTCATGAACCCTTGATAATTTATAAATTATTATTTTGCCATATATTGCACTGTCGTCCATCCCCCAGGGAGGAGGTTATATGTAGATCCTTGTAACTGGTTCCCCCTTTCCAACCCACCCTTCCTCCACCCTCCCAGTATCGCCACTCTCACCACTGATCCTGAAGGGATCATCCGTCCTGGATTCCCTGTGTTTCCAGTTCCTATCTGTACCGGTGTACATACTCTGGTCTAGCCAGATGTGTAAGTTAGAATGGGGGTCATGATAGTGGGGTGGGAGGGGTGAGGAAGCATTTAGGAACTAGAGGAAAGTTGTATGTTTCATCGTTGCTACATTGTACCCTGACTGGCTCATCTCCTCTCCATGACCCTTCTATAAGGGAATATCCAATTGCCTACAGATGGGCTTTGGGTCTCCACTCTGCACTTCCCCTCATTCACAATGATATGATTTTTTGTTCTGATGATGCCTGATACCTGATCCCTTTGGCGCCTCGTGATCATGCAGGTTGGTGTGCTTATTCCATGTGGGCTTTGTTGCTTCTGAGCTAGATGGCCGCTTGTTTACCTTCAAGCCTTTAAGACCCCAGATGCTATATCATTTGATAGCCGGGCACCATCAACTTTCTTCACCACATTTGCTTATTCACCCATTTGTCTTCAGTGATCGAATTAGGGAGGTGAGCACACAATGATATGATTATTTGTTTTTTGATGCCTGATAACTTATCCCTTCAAGCACCTCATGATCGTGCAGGTTGTTGTACTTGAAACAGTAACTCTTTATGGGAGTAGAAAGCACCATCTTTCTCCCAAGGATTGGCTGGTGGACTTGAACAGTTGGCCTTGCAGCTAATAGCTCAACACATAATCCACTATGCTTCCAGGTTGTTGTCAATTTGATACAAAATAGATGGCGCTTAAAAGAGCAAACTAGTGAAGCCAAATTACTGTTTGGCTTTCAGACGGCTTCAGGGGATGTTTTTCATTGGAGGTATAAAGATGATCTCAGGGCAAAAATTTCAAGGATTCATCCACCTTCCAGGGCTCCAGAAAATCTAGAGTCCAAGAGAATTATGTTGTGCATTCTCACCATGTTGATTAGGACTCTTCTACAAGAATCTTTAACCAAAATGGTCAGTATAGGTAACTGGAAACCATCCAGTTCTACATTGTGAATTAGGAGAGAAAACAAAAGCACTAGACACTTTATTAGATCAGCTAACTGAAATGTTCCAAGAAACCACAATCTCCAAACCAATGAACCAAATCCCATGCAGTTTGGGGTTGCACATAAAGAGCCTTGGTAGCTAATTATTTTTGGTAAAGGAGGTGGGAGAGAGAAAGTGATCATTGTTGTAAATATGTTTAATGATCAGCTCCTATGTAAGAAGAACATTAGTTCAGTCACTACAATATAACACATCTATGTTCCAACAGAACCAATGGGAATGTCATGCCCTGCGATCTCCTCTTATTGGTAATCAGTGAAATAGCTGCCATCAAGCCAACCCCCACTTCGGGCAACTCGAGTATGTCAGAGCAGGGGAGGTCTCACAGGATTCTCCATAGGTGACTTTTCAGAAGTAGGTCACCAGGTCTTTCTTCTGACTCACTTCTGGATGGCCTCAAACCTTTCACTTGGCAGCTGAGGGTTGGGATCATGGGCACTAACAAGAAGTAACAGGTCAATAATACTTAAGCGTCCAAAGGAAAGAGCAATCCTCAAAAGCTTTCCCCTCCACTTCTGATGTCACTCAAATGTTCTGAGCTTGCAGACCACTTTTTCCTGGTAAAAATAATCAAGAGAAGGCCAATCAATCAGGCGATTTGGTATCCCTATGAAGCTCCCAGTGAGGGCTGGTTCTTGACAAAACAGCAGAGCAAGTCAGTGCAGACCCTTCTGAGCTGTGATTCCAAGCGCCTTCTCCCCTTCAGCTGTGTTTCTGGTCAGTGCAAATGATTAACACAATGGCTAGTAACTGTTAAATGAAGTAAAAATGAAATCGGGTATTTGAGAGGCTAGAATAAGAGGCTGGCTAGATAGTGCCCCTAATCTTACATCATCATGGCAACTGAGGTCTAGCTTTCTGAAAAATCAGGCCATCCTCCTGGACCAATAGGTTTCTGACAGGGCTTCCACCCCTATGGGCTTATGGGGTTTCATTAAACCCCGACAGCTATTCAATAGGAAATTGGATAGGTCAATTGGAAGTATGTTTGTTTCTTGGTTTTCTATAGCCAGTCAGTCACTGCAGCTACTTGGTAGAGTGAGAGCCTTTCCACATGTAGTTTGGTTAAGGTGGCCAGATTTAAAGCGGGACACCATTGACCGGGGGGTGGGGTGTTCTTGATGAAAAATTTGGTCTATATG